GAACTAGCAGGTGGAGTCACTTCAGCTGGACAGCGTAATATTAAATTCGTTAAAAAATTCGTTGAGGGTAAAGGGTTCAAAGTTAAATATGGAGATACCGATTCTTTATACCTCATATGCCCAGGAAAGTGTTTTCAAGAATGTGATCAAAAATATAAATTGGATCAACTCTCACGAGAAGAGTACTGTGAAGAAATGGTAAAAATCTCTATGGAAGTAATGAAGAACCTCCGTAGCGATGTAAATACTAAGCTAGAAAAGGACAATGGAACACCTTACCTTAATATGGCATACGAGGAGGTCTTATTTCCCATGGTATTTACAGGAAAGAAAAAATACTATGGCCTGGAGCATAAAGATAAGCCAAACTTTAATCCGGGTCAACTTTTCATTAGAGAGGTGGATGTTGTGAAAAGAGGTCAATCTAAGCTCATTCGTAATGTAGGTAAGGAGATTATGGATAGAACTTTAAAAGTCGATAATGAGGAAATGATGTATCAGATTGTTGAAAAAGTTCTTTGGGAAAATGTAGAAAAACTTTCCAAGTTAAATTATGATGAATTTATCCAGACATGTATATGGAGACCTAAAAAGGAGGGTAAGCAGGGAAATATTTTTGTAGAACGGTTTGTTTCACAGATGGGGGCTAGATATGGTCACGAGGTATTGGAAAATCAACAGCTTATAAAGAAGGGTTTACCTGTCAATTCGTATTTATATAAAGTCCCCAAACCCGGTGAACGATTTAGTTACATTGTAGTAGTACCTGAAGAGATTTATGATAATTGCAGAAAAAAAATATTACAGAAAAAAGGAGACTGTATGGAATATCCAGATGTGGTAAAAAAGTTTAACAAGAAAATAAATATTGATTATTATACCGAGAGTTTATTTGCCCTCTGTGCCCGTTTTATAAATTATGATGATAAATACCAACCATCGCCCGAATCTCTAGCAAAAGCCTTGGACCGTAAAAAGAAATCAAAGGAGAAGAAATCGAAAAACGTTAAGGATTTATTGCAAAGCAGTGACTCTCTGAGTCTAGATGAGGATGAAATAGCAAATATCAAAGATGTAGAGTCGCAGAAATTGGCTAAAAAGTGGCTTAAAAATTATATCAAGAACTTATGTGATGCCCCGAAAAAAGATGAAACCATTATCTCCCATTTATGGAAAGACACTACCACCCACGCTCAAAAAATATGTTCCAGTATTAGCAAAGCTGGCGTAACCAGACCTTCAGGTGCCCCTACGAGGTATAATGACTACCTTAATTTGTTAAATAAAATTGCAGATTCTATTCGTTTAAAGTTATCAGATCTACTTTCAAAATTATCTAAGCTCAATGTAGAATATAGAAATGGGTTGTACGGGTTAATTATGCAGGTGCAGAAATGTAAACCTGATATTACAATTTTGGAACAATATATATTTCGATATAATCTGGAATCAGAGTGTGAAGCATTAATAGATTTCCGAAATACATGGTACAGGGTAATTGGTCTTGAGTTTGCACGACTTCAAGCACTATCAATTATGCAGAAAAGTAAAAAAGATGATTCACCTGACATCGATGAAATCATTGACTTATATTGTTAAGTATTCTTGATTAGAATTATCAGACTCCACTAAGATACTTATACATTATTAATAATATTTTTTCGTATATAAATAATATCCAAGTTTAAATAGATAGTCTCGTTATCCGATCCACATATCCCTCAACTACTTATTTTTTTACTTACGCCCCATTCACGTCTAAATACCATGAACCATATAACAGCAATAATCAATAAGATAAGTAATATATATGCTAATAATGGTGACATTAAACTACTTGCTACGACAGGAGTTGCACCTATCTCTTCTATTGGAAGAGGCAAAGCCTCGAGACTAGGTCTCATCTCTTCTA